CTTGGTCCTAGCTGTGCAGGGCAATTTTAGAGACTGATCGGATAAACAACATGGCCGACAGGCAGCCATCTTGGATTTTGATAGTGAAAGTTTGTTATCGCTATTTCTCGGGAAGTACGGGAGGGATCTTTCTCAAATTTTAAATGTAGGTTCCCCTTGATCCCTCGTTGTGTATGTTATATTTTGAGACTGATCATAAAAACAAAATGGATTAAAAGAAGAACTAAACAGATCTTTCTCATATTGCAATGATTGATTCTATTTCTTTCACATTAAGTACTGTACTAGTAAATATATGAAATGACAAACTCACTTTGAAGGTTGGTTTTCATACACATCAGTATTAAGTTTAGATCAAAAGTTACCTCAAGGTGCATTAACTGTTAACATGACTCGATCAAACAGATTAGAGGAAAGAAGAGAAAAGATCGAACTGACAAAGAACTAATGAAGATGGTACAAAGGTGGGCGCCAAATAAGATCCCTCTGGGATCTCTTGTTGTAACATGTTATAGATATTTTATGATAAATAAAATATTTGTAGGGTTGATTAGCAATGCTTCTTTTCATTATTTTATTGTTGTAATAGTTTTGAACAATGGCACACACTCAAAAAATGTGAAAGTGTTAAATATGACGAAAATTCTTTTTTTCTGTATTTTTTACAAAAAAATCCCCAGTTTATCGGAATGCTTAGATTTTCATAAAATCATCTCTACATTATGACATAACCCTTATGTGAAACTTTCATTGAATTCTGCTGGTTCATTGTGAAAGGGTGGAGCCTCCTTAAATATCCATACCAAAAAAGGAAAAACTACATGTACCTGGTACTCTTATAGTTAGTTTGTTAATTTTCTATGATATTGTATGAATATACATTACCTGATACAATATGTCAGGATTCAACGCCAGTTATGATATAGTATACTATACAATTGTGTACAGTTTTGGTACAGTGCTACATTATGTGAGAAAAGGAATATTGTATAGACTTATTTTGATGTGACTTCATGCCTTTGCCAAAGACACACCAAATTGTGAGTTGTGCGGTTCCTAACTCCTAAGGGCTATGTTTCGGTGTGATTGTTGATATTCTTGTTTTCTTAACTGTGAGAAAAATGTGTCTTATATTACAAATTTTATGAGATTGCAATGTTTGGGACAAGCATTCATTGGATTGCATCATCTAAGCACAGAATAATGACTTAACCTCATTTGATATTTCAGATATGTATAATATTTTATAGCTTAAATACAGTTAAACAGCACAGCTGTTTTGATGGTTTCGTCATATTTTTCTTCGGGATTTAATGTGTATATAGCATATTTTGTTCATAATCAGGACCACATATGGTAGATTGTAAAGCCTTAAGTTTTGTGATTGGCTAACATGTTACCGCCCCAACGCATCTTACTGCTTACAGCATTAAATGGCGATATATCTGATACAGATACTAAGTTACATAGGATAGGCCATTGCTCCATCAAAGTAATTGGAGCAATAGTATAAACAAATCTGGAGCTTTTAATATGTTTTGCCAATCTTAAGCATAGCAGACTAGAATCCATTGAAACTCTGGTGTGAGTTTGTGAAATTTAACATAAATTCAAGTATGTCGAGGGTAGTTATTTATTTCAGAAACATGACCCTTTAAGGATCCCAGTCCCACTGTTCTGTTCCCGATATGTGGTAACCTTCTCTTCATTCCCGTTTAGATATAACTGTAAAACAATTTTGATCAGGTAGCTGGTTTGGTTTAAACATTTAATATTCATAAGTACAGGGTTCGAGTCAGGGTCTAGCCCTGCCATGTATTTTTTAACACTAAAAAACACTACTGTTGATTATAATTTATTTATATCATCTTTATCATTTCTCCTGAGAGTCCGTCCTTAAATAACTATAGCTGTTGATAGGATGTTAAACGAAACCAATCCAATCTAATCTCATGAGAGTCTCATAAAGTCTCATAAAAGAACTAAGTTACAGTTTTTGACAGTGTTACAGGGATCCTTAAACCAGCCTAGCACGTTAACCTTTTGTACCTGAGAACAACCAAATGTCGAATTACCACTGCCCCAGTTTTAAGTAAGGCTAAGATATGTGGGTCAGATTTGCTCTCTCAATGTAGGTTATCTCTGTAAATTCAATAATAAATATCTTTTTGTGTCAGAGTTCATACCAATGACATATATTTATATTTATAGTTCTGAAAATGACCTCTGTGATATATGCACAGATTGTAGTGTATTCTGGAAGTTCCTTATCACATCATTGAAAAAGCTTAAAATTAGCCCTGTCAAGCTTCTATAATAGAAGAAAGTAGAGTGCTTACACTGGGGATCAATTTATTGCCCCCCCCATCTCCACATGTAGTCTACCAATTGAAATTCCCTATCTCACAAAACTAGAAGATGACCATGATCATACGTACAATTAAACTCCGCCGTACTACTCCCCCTTTCTATGTGTGTTTGCCCCACGCCCAAACTCAACTTCACCCCAGGGGCATGGACATATTTTGTAATACAGAAGAAAATAGAATGCTTCCACTCCGGATTGAACCAATGACCTCCAGCTGATCAGCTAAAGGAAGATTCCCTTTAGCTGGAAGTTAGAAGGTACTAGGTACCATTAAAACTGGCTACATGCTAAATACTACTCCTTCGATCACACACTACATGTAGTACATAGTAAATCACACACTACATGATAAATAATACTCCTTCGATCACACACTACATGATAAATACTACTCCTTCGATCACACACTACATGTAGTACAATTAGTAAATCACACACTACATGTAGTACAATTAGTAAATCACACACTACATGATAAATACTACTCCTTCGATCACACACTACATGTAGTACAATTAGTAAATCACACACTACATGATAAATAATACTCCTCCGATCACGCACTACATGTAGTACATAGTAAACCACACACTACATGATAAATAATACCCCCCCCTGATCACACACTACATGTAGTACATAGTAAATCACACACTACATGATAATTAATACTCCTCCGATCACACACTACATGTAGTACACAGTAAATCACACACTACATGTAGTACAATTAGTAAATCACACACTCCATGATAAATAATACTCCTCCAATCACACACTACATGATAAATAATACTCCTTTGATCACACACTACATGATGAATAATACTACACACTACATGATAAATACTACTCCTTCGATCACATACTACATCTAGTCGTAGTAAACGCCACACACTATATGATAAATAATACTCCTCTGATCACACACTACATGTAGTACACAGTAAATCACACACTACATGTAGTACAATTAGTAAATCACACACTCCATGATAAATAATACTCCTCCGATCACTCACTACATGTAGTACATAGTAAATCACACACTACAGGATAAATAATACTCCTCCGATCACACACTACATGTAGTACACAGTAAATCACTCACTACATGTAGTACATAGTAAATCACACACTACATGATGAATAATACTCCTTCGATCACACACTACGTAGTACAATTAGTAAATCACACACTACATGTAGTACATAGTAAATCACACACTACAGGATAAATAATACTCCTCCGATCACACACTACATGTAGTACACAGTAAATCACACACTACATGTAGTACAATTAGTAAATCACACACTCCATGATAAATAATACTCCTCCGATCACTCACTACATGTAGTACATAGTAAATCACACACTACATGATGAATAATACTCCTTCGATCACACACTACATGATAAATGATACTCCTTCGATCACACACTACATGATAAATGATACTCCTTCGATCACACACTACATGATAAATAACACTCCTTCGATCACACACTACATGATAAATGATACTCCTTCGATCACACACTACATGATAAATAATACTCCTTCGATCACACACTACATGATAAATAATACTCCTTTGATCACACACTACATGATGAATAATACTCCTTCGATCACACACTACATGATAAATAATACTCCTTCGATCACACACTACATGATAAATAATACTCCTTCGATCACACACTACATGATAAATAATACTCCTTCGATCACACACTACATGTAGTACTAAGTAAACCACACACTACATGATAAATAATACTCCTTCGATCACACGCTATATGTAGTACTAAGTAAACCACACACTACGTGATAAATAATACTCCTTCGATCACACGCTATATGTAGTACTAAGTAAACCACACACTACACGATAAATAATACTCCTTCGATCACACACTGCATTTAGTACATAGTAAACCACACACTCCATGTAGTGCAAAGTAAACCAATTCAACACTCCATGTAATACATAGTAAACCACACACTACATGTAGTACATAGTAAAACACACACTCCATGTAGTGCAAAGTAAACCAATTCAACACTCCATGTAATACATAGTAAACCACACACTACATGTAGTACATAGTAAAACACACACTCCATGTAGTGCAAAGTAAACCAATTCAACACTCCATGTAATACATAGTAAACCACACACTCCATGTAGTGCAAAGTAAACCAACACTCCATGTAGTACATAGTAAAACACACGCTCCATGTAGTGCAAAGTAAACCAATTCAACACTCCATGTAATACATAGTAAACCACACACTCCATGTATCCGTAGTACATAGTAAACCACACACTCCATGTATACTTAGTACATAGTAAACCACACACTCCATGTATACGTAGTACATAGTAAACCACACACTACATGATAAATGCAAGAAAGAACATTTTGTAATGGTTATTTTAACTGGAAGGTACATACGTGCAGAAACAGTTGTTCACAGGATTTTGATCATATTAGACGTCGATCTTTTTTTCACTTGAACATTTCTTGTGGGCAATCAGATAGAAGTAAGTTAGAAAATTTTACAGTTATATTTCTTGTTTAGATATTTAAGGTAGCAGAAACGTTTGTGATGTTTTGCAGGGAGAAGTACTAGTCGATAATGAAGGAGAGAAACGACCTTCAGAGAGCGCTGCCCGTCATCGTCATTTACCAGAAAATATCAACGAGGAGGTACTGCAGGTGGCCAGGCAGGAATTACAGAGACAAAACAGAAAGGTAACACTCTCACTGTTTTTACTCTGTGTCTGTATAAGGTGAACAAGTTTATAGAGCTGTTTCTGTTTAGAATGGAGTTACTATATAGTACCTATGAGTTTAGGTAGAAATGTATAAAAAATTGTTCGACCATAATTGGCATAGCACAGATAATTGCTTAAAAGTCTTAATCAGATGGTGATTACTGTACCAAGGGTTGTGTCCCCTTGAGGGCAGAGGGGTGGGGTCAAATAGGGGAAATAAAGTTAAATTTAAAAGACTACTCCTTCAATGATGATGAAGGAATTTCAAACAAATTTGTTCTGAAAAATCATTTGGCCATGAGCTATTAACTCTCAGTGTATGTAAATTAGACGACACCTTATGATTTCCACCTGAACATGTACATATCATGGTCAGTTATGTTTTGTGAATTCTTCTACTTGAAATGTATGACCTTTGAATAAATGTCTCATTTTAAATCAAATGGAACCTGTAAAATTGAATTTTTAGCTCACCTGGTCAGAAGGGCCAAGTGAGCTTATCCCATGCCGCAGCGTCAGCTGTCGTCCGTCATCCGGTGTCCGGTGTCCGTCGGCCGTCAACTTTTTCCTTTAAAACGCTACTAGTCCTGAACGGCTCAGAGGATTTTGACCAAATTTGGTCTGGAGCATCATTGGCCAAAGGGTTCTCAGTTTTGTATAAACGGAGGGCATGGTCCCCCTGGGGGCAGAGGGACTGGGTCAAATAGTGGGAAAATAGGTAAATCTTTAAAAATCTTCTTCTCAACCAATAGAAGGATTTTGACCAAATTTGTCCTTGAGCATCTTGGGACAAAGGAGACTCAAGTTTGTATAAACGGAGGGTGCGGCCCCTCTGGGGGCGGAGGGGCGGCGCCCAATAGGGTAAACAGGATTTTTATTCTCCTGCTATACAAGTGAAGGGATTTAAACCAAATGCAGTCTGAAGCATGATTAGGGACAAAAGAATCAATTTTGTATAAACTGAGGTGTGTGGGCCCCCTTCTAGGGGCAGATGGGCCCATTAGGGGAAATAGAGGAAAACATCAAAGATCCTTCTTCTTTTGTACCGATAAAGAGATTTTGACCAAATTTGGTCTGGAGCATCATTAGCCAAAGGGTTCTCAGTTTTGTATAAACGGAGGGTATGGTCCCCCTGGGGGCAGAGGGACGGGGCCAAATAAGGGGAAAATAATTTTGACCAAATATGTCCTAGAGCATCTTTGGACAAAGGAGAATCAAGTTTGTATAAATGGAGGGTGTGGCCCCTCTGGGGGTGGAGGGGCGGGGTCCAATAGGGGAAATAGAGGATTTTTTTTCTCCTTCTATACAAGTGAAGGGATTTAAACCAAAAGCAGTCTGAAGCATGCTTAGGGACAAAAGAATCACTTTTGTTTAAACTGAGGTGTGTGGACCCCCTTCTTTGGGGCAGATGAGTGGGGCCCATTAGGGGAAATAGGGGAAAACATTAAAGATCCTTCTCCTTCTGTACTGTTGAAGGGATTTTAAGCAAACAAACTTATTCCAGAGAATCTTTGGGCAAAGGGAATTGAATATTTATAAATGGAAGATGTGCCCCCCACCCCAACCAGGCAGAGGAGCAGGGCCCAATAGGGGAAATAGAGAAAAATATTTTCCCTTCTGTACAAATGAATGGATTTATACCAAATGTGGTCTGAAGCATGCTTAGGGGGAAAAAATCAATTTGTTTAATTTGTATAAAAAGATGCATGTGAGGCCCAATAGGGGAAATAGAGGAAAATTGGGACATAACATGGAAACTCATTTTCTTGTTGTCTTTCCCACCAAAACAGATTTATATGTAGTTCTTCTTGCAACTTTGTTTCTTGTACTCCTTTGATAAACCTGTATGGTACTCAGCAGGTTTTAAATTGAAAAATAAAATACTAGGTGAGCTATTAAGGGCCCTGGGCCTATTGTCTTTATTTGGCTTGTATCTCTGTTTTCTGTACATTTCATGGGTTCCATATAGACCGTAAGGTATTTGGCTCCTTGTGCCGTCGTACTTAACCCAAGGATGTTGAAGTTGATTATACTTTATCAATGTTACAGCTGGAGTTGCTCGACTCAATACATGTAGCAAATACTGAACTTAATTTACATTTCATACTTAACTGCCTTGGTTAAGGTGATATGATCTCATTCACACATCAAGTGAGATGAATTGTTTCATCCCTATCTTTGTAACTGGAAGTGCTTCATAGACTCTATTATATCATTGATGCCCCCAGTGCTGATCTACTGATCACATGTTTTCTGTGCTGAATTTGACTTGACTACCAAGCTTGGTATATTGATGGTGACATCTACTTTTCGTAACTGAAACAAGTGTTACCTAAATTTAGCTGTGATGACATATATATGCCCACAGGTGTATTCCTAAAGATGGGGTTGAGCTGGAAACAGTGTCACCACCATTTACTTGTTATATACCCAGAGGAATGGAGGGAAGATACTTGTATCACCCTTGTATTGTATCACCCTTGTACTGTATCACCCTTGTATTGTATCACCCTTGTATTGTATCACCCTTGTACTGTATCACCCTTGTATTGTATCACCCTTGTATTGTATCACCCTTGTACTGTATCACCCTTGTATTGTATCACCCTTGTATTGTATCACCCTTGTACTGTATCACCCTTGTATTGTATCACCCTTGTATTGTATCACCCTTGTACTGTATCACCCTTGTATTGTATCACCCTTGTATTGTATCACCCTTGTACTGTATCACCCTTGTATTGTATCACCCTTGTATTGTATCACCCTTGTACTGTATCACCCTTGTATTGTATCACCCTTGTATTGTATCACCCTTGTACTGTATCACCCTTGTATTGTATCACCCTTGTATTGTATCACCCTTGTACTGTATCACCCTTGTATTGTATCACCCTTGTATTGTATCACCCTTGTACTGTATCACCCTTGTATTGTATCACCCTTGTATTGTATCACCCTTGTACTGTATCACCCTTGTATTGTATCACCCTTGTATTGTATCACCCTTGTACTGTATCACCCTTGTATTGTATCACCCTTGTATTGTATCACCCTTGTACTGTATCACCCTTGTATTGTATCACCCTTGTATTGTATCACCCTTGTACTGTATCACCCTTGTATTGTATCACCCTTGTATTGTATCACCCTTGTACTGTATCACCCTTGTATTGTATCACCCTTGTATTGTATCACCCTTGTACTGTATCACCCTTGTATTGTATCACCCTTGTATTGTATCACCCTTGTACTGTATCACCCTTGTATTGTATCACCCTTGTATTGTATCACCCTTGTACTGTATCACCCTTGTATTGTATCACCCTTGTATTATCATTTTCTAGTTGTGTAATTCTAATTTTTAGAAGAGAAAACTCCCAGATGAACCACCAGAGGGAGCTCCAGACTGTGTACTGGTGACGTTACGGACGCCCATTGGCGATCTACGACAGCGCAGATTTAAACAGACAGATACAATACAGGTATAATTTTCTTTCTTTCAATTGTCAAGGAATCTGATTAGATGTGAACAAATTAGATCACATTTGCAGGGTTGATACCCAGTCACCTGACTTCTGTGGAGCTAGTGAGGAGCGTCTGTGTTATGGTATAAGACACATACAATTTAACCCCTGCCACTTCTGTGGAAATGGAGCTAGTGAGGAGCGTCTGTGTTATGGTATAAGACACATACAATTTAACCCCTGCCACTTCTGTGGAAATGGAGCTAGTGAGGAGCGTCTGTGTTATGGTATAAGACACATACAATTTAACCCCTGCCACTTCTGTGGAAATGGAGCTAGTGAGGAGCGTCTGTGTTATGGTATAAGACACATACAATTTAACCCCTGCCACTTCTGTGGAAATGGAGCTAGTGAGGAGCGTCTGTGTTATGGTATAAGACACATACAATTTAACCCCTGCCACTTCTGTGGAAATGGAGCTAGTGAGGAGCGTCTGTGTTATGGTATAAGACACATACAATTTAACCCCTGCCACTTCTGTGGAAATGGAGCTAGTGAGGAGCGTCTGTGTTATGGTATAAGACACATACAATTTAACCCCTGCCACTTCTGTGGAAATGGAGCTAGTGAGGAGCGTCTGTGTTATGGTATAAGACACATACAATTTAACCCCTGCCACTTCTGTGGATGGAATGTGATCTGATGCACTGCTGTTACCTTTTTATAAAACAAATCTATGTACACTTAAAAAGTTTCTTAGCTTTTTAATAAACTTATTAAAAAGAAGCTAAGGTAGCTGTGCTATTACTATTTATCTGGATTTTGATTATATTCCTGGGAGCTTTGTTTCTTTTCTTGAATTTATAATTTCTAATGATCAGTGCTCTAGGTAGTTGTGGGCTTGAATGATTGGGATTTTGACTACTTTGATAATTATTTTCTTCTCTGATTTCTGTTTAAAGATATTTTCTGAAGTGCTGCTACTTATTTTCTTGGCTGATATTTGTGAAACTTGGTACTCATGATCAGTTGTTGATTGCAATCTATGTTTGAGTTTTACAGAGTTACACCCCTTTCCTTATTATTTTTACTGCAAGCAGAAGTTATCAGGTTGTAACGTCACCGGTCGCCGCTGAGAGAACACAGAACGATTTGTTATACAATATCTACAAGTTTATTTACACTATATATTAAAGAAACCCCCCATAATTATGTACACTCACAAACACACATTCATACAGCACTTAATGTCATTACTCCGGTAGGTGGTGTCACATTTTCTGTATGTATAACTACAGTTCCAATGTCCATGTGGGCAATACACAATACAGTTAGGAAACAGATAAAATCAACAAGTGTCACAAACATGTATTTTGCTTCTTCACTGGGATCATCATATATTCCACGTCCGCTGATCATGGATATATAATATACCCCCTCCGCGGAAGGGTCTAGCACTGATCTGCTGTAATGCAGGCCTCCGGCTCCGCAGATGATCTGAGGACTACTACCTCACTGACAAAAGATGTCAATACAACTATGAGTTGTGTGCCCCTTGTGGAACTGACCCGATGTGTGTAGTGCCAGTTGTCCCATCCACATTCTCCTCACCTACCAACCCGTTCATGGAAATCTATAAATAATGAACACACATACTAACACTATTGCCCATACACCCAATATAGTCAACCTAGTTATAGTATCGCTGTAAATATTACATGTAAATATACATTGACTCACTACATAGATTTAACACTTATTATGCGGACTAATTAGAATATATCCAACTAGTTATTATAAGGAATACTAACAACAATAATATCGGATATCAACACTAATGGATAGATACCATAATCTTACAGAAAGTGCCTCACGCTTACCTGTACCATCACTAAAAGCGGAATGCCTACGTACGTGCATTAAAGTATTTAAATTAACAATTCTACCACTGATACAAGTATAACATATGTATACTAACTCATAGATGTATACACATATTCATAATATGGATACTTAGTTAATAAAGTAGGGTATAACATGTTTACCACTATATACAATACATGTAAACAATGTTCCGCATGAACTAACCGCACCTACACATTAACGATACACAGTTCATGCACAAGAATGAGCTTATTGCGGTCGTTCAAGAGTAACTGATGCAATATATATAGCATACAATTAGCAACCAAATAACTATAATAAAAATTTACCACATCTCAGGTGTATATGCACCTGTATTCAGGGTGGTTTTATGGTTAGATGTATGGTTTATTAATCTGTAAACATAACAGTGTGCTTTAGGTATTCATTCATATTTTTTGCTTATGAGAATTTAATATTTTCAAATTGATGCAAATATATAGTTGACTTTACTGTGTCTAGTGAGTGAGTATCATCTGAAAAGGATGTGTTTTTGTATCGTGATATTTGGATATGTCCTGTTCACCGAGTGCTGTTCGGTTTTACATGTGAAGGTGTGTCACCTAGCCAACCTAGGCCTCAGTAACACTGTACACTATAGGACAATTACATAATGTGTTAGGGTTCTGTGCTCGATCTTCAGTGTTGTTCATTTCTTATAGATCTATTGATCAGGTCTAAAACAAAGTCACAGTGACCTATATAATGTCAATATACTGTATAGTGAGAAATGTTCATCACAGATTAACCTTTTACCTTTTCACCCTTATTGTTTATTCAGGTAAAAAAAAACATTTTAAAAAACTGAAAAAAACCCCATAATTGTTCATTCCATTAAACCTAGGGTTGCCTGTAAAAGTTCAAACTTATTCTAATCTAAATCCGTGATAAAAGCTTATTGAAAGCTATTTTGTATGGGGTCCTTGAGTAATTAAACTTGCCAGATACAAAGATCACAGTTATAATGATATGATGTGGTGTGAAAATTAAAAGGGATCTCAACACATGTAGATATGCCAGGTTCCCTAGTAATTGGGCAACCTCTCTCTACAGAGGTCCACAAAACACTGTCAATGCAAAGGTCAAGTTGGAGAATACCTGGGACGAGTTTTTATTTTAGGGTCCCAAGGTCAACACCTAAGTACATCGACTAGGTCAACATAATGTGACCTTCATTTATAGCAGAAAAATCAAAGTATGATGGAATACCACTTAACTACAAGATATCCTTGATCTATCTAAGATCTACTAAGATCTATGTAACTACAGGATATCCTTGATCTATCTAAGTTCTACTAAGATCTACGTAACTACAGGATATCCTTGATCTATCTAAGATCTACCAAGATCTATGTAACTACAGAATATCCTTGATCTATCTAAGATCTACTAAGATCTATGTAACTACAGGATATCCTTGAATAAGACATTCGTGTCTTATTAACGTTTTCTAGTTTGCCCACACAGTGGATGATAGGTGAGAGTGTAAGTTTAACAGTTAACTTTCTAGTTAACCCACACAGTGGATGATAGGTGAGAGTGTAAGTTTGACAGTTAGCTTGCTAGTTTGCCCACACAGTGGATGATCGGCGAAAGTGTTAGTTTAACTGTTAACTTTTTAGTTTACCCACACAGTGGATGATAGGTGAGATTGTAAGTTTAACAGTTAACTTTCTAGTTAACCCACACGGTGGATGATAGGTGAGAGTGTAAGTTTAACAATAGATCAAATATATCCTGCAGTTAACTGGTATTCTATCATACTTTGACTTTTCTGCTATAAATGTCCATTAACGTTTTCTAGTTTGCCCACACAGTGGCTGATAGGAGAGAGTGTAAGTTTAACAGTTAACTTTCTAGTTTGACCACACAGTGGATGATAGGTGAGAGGGTAAGTTTGACAGTTAACTTTCTAGTTTGCCCACAAAGTGGATGATAGGTGAGAGTGTAAGCTTAACAGTTAACTTTCTAGTTTACCCACACAGTTGAGGATAGGTTAGAGTGTAAGTTTAACAGTTAACTTTCTAGTTTGACCACACAGTGGATGATAGGTGAGAGGGTAAGTTTAACAGTTAACTTTCTAGTTAACCCACACAGTGGACGATAGGTGAGAGTGTAAGTTTGACAGTTAGCTTGCTAGTTTGCCCACACAGTGGATGATCGGTGAGAGTGTAAGTTTAACAATAGATCAAATATATCCTGCAGTTAACTGGTATTCTATCATACTTTGACTTTTCTGCTATAAATAGTGGATGATAGGTGAGAGTGTAAGCTTAACAGTTAACTTTCTAGTTTACCCACACAGTTGAGGATAGGTTAGAGTGTAAGTTTAACAGTTAACTTTCTAGTTTACCCACACAGTTGAGGATAGGTTAGAGTGTAAGTTTAACAGTTAACTTTCTAGTTTACCCACACAGTTGAGGATAGGTTAGAGTGTAAGTTTAACAGTTAACTTTCTAGTTTACCCACACAGTGGATGATAGGTTAGAGTGTAAGTTTAACAGTTAACTTTCTAGTTAACCCACACAGTGGATGATAGGTGAGATTGTAAGTTTAACAGTTAACTTTCTAGTTTATCCACACAGTGGATGATCGGTGAGAGTGTAAGTTTAACAATAGATCAAATATATCCTGCAGTTAACTGGTATTCTATCATACTTTGACTTTTCTGCTATAAATAGTGGATGATAGGTGAGAGTGTAAGGTTAACAGTTAACTTTCTAGTTTGCCCCCACAGTGGATGCTAGGTGCGAGCGTAAGTTTAACAGTAACTTTTTAGTTTATCCACACAGTGGATTATAGGTGAGAGTGTAAGTTTAACAGTTAGCTTTCTAGTTTACCCACACAGTGGATGATAGGTGAGATTGTAAGTTTAACAGTTAACTTTCTAGTTTGCCCACAAAGTGGATGATAGGTGAGAGTGTAAGCTTAACAGTTAACTTTCTAGTTTACCCACACAGTTGAGGATAGGTTAGAGTGTAAGTTTAACAGTTAACTTTCTAGTTTACCCACACAGTTGAGGATAGGTTAGAGTGTAAGTTTAACAGTTAACTTTCTAGTTTATCCACACAGTGGATGATCGGTGAGAGTGTAAG